CGGCCTCCTAATTGCACGCACGAGTGCCCCCAACCGCGAAAAACTTGCAAACCATTGGCAAACTACTGATGAAGGCGGTATTCCACGTGGAGCGTTTGGATCCGTGCTGCGTCGCGATAGATTTATGGAGATTTCTTGAAACCTACATTTCAATCCAAACTCTGATCCAAGGGCGGTCACAGATACAGCATGGAAGATTCGCAAAGTTGTGGAAGTTCTACAAAGGACATTTGAGCGAGGGTATGTGGCTCCAACACACTTGCCTTTTGATGAAGCGATGCTTCCTAGCCGCTCGTAGCTCAACATGATGCGTGTCTATATGAAAGACAAACCCCACAAGTGGGGCACGAAGCTCTTTATGTTGTGCAGTGCGGTGACCGCCTACTGCATCAGGTATATTTTTTTGGCTCTACGTTTTTCTTATGCTGAATAATGCAGACTAAAGCTGGATATTTTGCTATAAGTATGCTGCATTTATACAGGTTCGAGGTTTACTGCGGTAAGAAACAGCACTCCGGCTATGCACACAAGACGTATATGAAGTCAGGGCCTGCTGCAGTAGTTCGCAATCTTCTCGCTGTGTTTGGGCCAGATTCTCGGATGAATGGGATGAGACTTGTTGTAGTGGATCGGTTCTATACGTCGGTGGCATTGGCAATTCAATTGCTGCTCATGGGATTCTACTGTGTTGGGACTATTATGACGAACCGGTTGGGCTATTGCAAAGGAGTCGTTGAAAAAAAGAAGTCTAGACCTGCTACTATTGCTCGCGGATCTTTCAAAGTTTCAAGATCAAAGTTAGTGCCAAACACGACTGCTGCTAGCTGGTGGGACGCGCGGCCGGCTCACTTCATGTGCACTGGCGGGAGTCTTGAGATGGATCGTGGTGTTAACCAAGAATTCGCAGATAAAGTCGAAGTTCCTTGCCCACGCGTCGTGAAGGACTACCACGTCTTCATGAGGGGCGTGGATGTCCACGACCAGTAACGTTTGCAGCGGTACTCTATTCAGCGGTCCGTGCGGTTCAAAAAGTACTACAAGTTGCTGGTGTTATGATTAATTGATTTAGCAATTGTGAATGGCTACATAGTCCACAAAGCCTACTACAAGCAGAAGTCGTCTCGCCCATTGACGCATGTGAAGTACATGAAGAAACTGCATTTGCAGCTGTCGCAGCTGCACGCGTCCGACATGTATGAAGGCAACACGTTTGGTACACACGAACCCTCACAAGGTGCTTCCGTTCCAGGATCTGGAGGTCTACAAACTACTCACGCTGTCCGCCAGCTTGATGAGTGGCGCAATACGATGACGCAGCCGAAGCGCCGACAGCGCGCGTGCAAAGTCTGCTCGCTTCTCCGTGTTGCGGACAAACGCGCGACAACAACATCGTTCTTTTGTCAAGAATGCAGCAGCACGGGGCCAATGTTCCTGTGTATGAAGCCGCGCCGACAGATACGTGGAGTAGCTATGACATGCTGGGATATCTGGCACCCAGAGTGGATGGACAGCAAGTTGGTTCCGGTCGACACTGGGTAGAAATATCCGAGTGCGTCGAGCTGCAGACACGTCGACTGGAGCTCCGTCAACGCCTGGAAAGCCTGTCACGCCTTTCACACCACTGGATCCGGCTAGTAGAGGAAAGCGACGTAGGACAGACAGTTAGCTGGCCAAACTGCATTGCTGTGCTTGGTGTTACTTAAATAAAAAACTTTGAGCAGAATATATGCAGTCTAAGAAATCCGGATGATTGCGTCCCGCACAAGGTATTGCTGGCTCATCTGGCACTGTGCCTAATCCATCTGACTCTTTTGTCAGCTGATCTTTTCACTTGATTTGAGCCTCGAGCTGCCAGCACCGCATCATCTGATGGCGTTACTTTCTGTGGGTGATCCCCCATCGGACACAATGACACTTTGTATGGGAGGTTTTCACCTCAAAATTTCTAAAAATGAAAACTCTACCAAATGCACAGACCGATGCGGATGGCTCGTATCTGTACAGCGTCTGTCTACTACCGGTCCTGTAATGCTGCATTATGCAGACTGTCCAGGTCAATTCAGCTCCCAATATGCACCTTATGGACACTTTAGTCTGGTCCATACCCATTCACGACTGACTTTACCCCATTTCCCGCCAGTGGCCCAACCCTTTATTTACAAGCATCAAATCATGGTAAGTTGCATATGCAATTTAGAAAAAGCAAAAAATCGCTCCGGGTTGGAGGGGTTAATGTACTTTTTTTTAATGAGCGCGGTTGAAAATGCATAATGTATGGGAAGAAAAATTATGTCTTCACACTTTAAAACTAGTTTTTGTATGTAAAGGCCGTCACATATGAGACCGCGTCAATCAAAATATTACTTATGAACCTAAGTACGAATCGCGATTTAAGCACTCTAAACGAAAGCGGGGTGTCTCCTCTATCTTTTGAGCCCTTATAAGCTGCAGAATGCTATAAATTGAAGAAGTTGTGGTCGCTCAAAAATATTATCATCATTTATGGGCCCTTGAAATGACGATACATTTAGGAGTGTTGTGAGCTCAATATTTTTTCAATTTTAAAAATTCAAGTGTTATTTTAAAGCTCTTGTTAAAAGCAATTGAATAAGGGTTGGTTTACAGTTTTTTTATGGAAGTTTACAATAAATGTCACTGTTTCGGTCAAGTGCGAAAATCAATTGGCCAGCTTCAAGCTCGATTATCTCAAAGGTTCATAAGTAACATTTTGTTTGACGCAGTCTCATATGTGGTTTCCATTAATGGCCATAATGCGTGGACGGGTTTCATAGATTCAAATGCATAATGTATGGGACCCTCGAAATTTGATTGCGATTAATGCCATTATCGGGAGCCCTGTATATATACTATCGAGTATCAGTCATTATAATTACTCTTACTATTTTAATGAGTTGTCAAAGCTAGAGGAGCAAGCATAGTAACTCTTTTTATTCATATTCGCGAATATCAAGATATCATTACAAATATTAAGATAAGCAATCGCCGATAGTTACAATACTAGACCTTACGTCACTACATGTAGCACCCTCCGGTGCTGTTCATTATTTTGAAATCTTGCTTACGAAAGATTTTATATAATGTCACAGCGACGCAATTGTTTTTGCAATTGCTGCCTTTCTATTCGGTTTTCCAATGTTGCGTGCACATTTTCTAGAACTATTTCGTACGTTAATTGATTCAAATCATTAACAAAAAAACAATGCACTTCTGCACCATCCATCACTGGACCTCGATGTGGCGGTTAGCAAGTAACCATTCCCGTGCCATTGCCCTTAGGCTTTAGGACTCCGGTTCTTTGTTGTCCGAGTGGGTGATTCTCAGGGTCAGCGATATATTCTGTCGCAGTCTTCTCCAGGATGGCGGAGGCTGCTTCCGCAAGTTTCATGAGCTTCCAGTACTGCGACCTCGTCATCTCGTGGGGCTTTTCATCAAGACAACACAAGGCGCCAATGACGACTCTCTCAGGCTGTCCCGGAGCTCTTGGCACACACGGGATCGACACGGGGAAACCAGCGTAGAACCGAAGACTGCGCATCGTCACGGGCGCGATGTGGTAGAACCGCATATCCGCCTCAGCGTGACGGACGAGCAACGGCTTATCGTCCATGACAAAGTGCTGACAGAATGTTTGCTCGCGCGGATTACCGGTACCGACGTCCCAGTATTCCGGTGCGTTGGTCGCCAGCAGAGTCACCACATCACGTTCAACGAGTGTGACGACGCTGTGAGGGGCCTTCATTTCTGCCGCAGCCAGTGAGCAGATCACGTTGAGTTCAGAGACATTGGCGACGTCGTGGAGACGGAAATGCTCAATCGCGGCCATGCGAACCTCCTCGTTCGCTGGAATGGGGTAGATAATCGGCTCTGGCTCCCCCTCCTTTGACTCTTCTTCGTTCTGGACAAGAGCCGGCATCATCGGATACGGACGGGAGTCGGCACTCGCGAACTTGCAGGCGTCCAGCTCCGTCGGACGTTTTGAGATGTCCATCGCTCGCTTGGCTGCTTCGGTTGGCTGTTGACGGTCACTCGCAGCGTTGAGAAGATTGGCATTCATGTCAGTTTGGCTCTGGTCTTGTTTTTGGTCAATTAGCAGAAGCTGCTCGAGCACCAGGAAGGCAGCACGACGCTGTGCAAGCGCAACTTGATCCGAGTCGTCACACACAACTTGGGTCAGTAGGTCTCCGAGTTTTTGGCTCGACGGCGAGTCGGAGAAGCGCGAGGACTCGGACGCGGCCGTGCTGGAAGTGTCGAACGTACAGACGGAAGATGGCGTCGACACTTCATCTCGGGCAGCTACTGAGTGCCGTGCACGGATCGGAGCACCACACAGCAGCGACTGACCTGCCTGTTCGAAGACAAAACGGAGTCTGTCCGATTCCAGAGTTTATGGATCGAAAAAGTTGCTTCAGAGTTACTTTCGATTCGAGACAACGTTCGGCTCGGGCAACTTCGGCACAGATGGACGCTGGACGCACCTCGAAGATACCACCATGAAAGTGTCCATCGTGGAACGATTTGTGCAGAGCTCGAGGAGACGAGTCGATGGGCGAAGATGGATTACGTGCGTATCCAAACTCATCGCCTTCCTCCCGGTAGTTAGCGAAAAAATGTCACTACATGTATCGGCTTGACTGAAGAAAAAACGACAATTTCGGTCGGGAGTCAACCGGCATTCTCGAAGTGGCCAGTTAGCTATGTTGTTTCACTTCCAGAAAGCAAAACATTTTTGTATTTTCTATGAGTTGCAGTCATGCTTCTCGTCGTGGTTTCGCCTCATATCCGATGCTCGGATGATAGTTTTGTCTGAACTTCTTCGGAGCTGGCTCGGGCTCGTGATGAGCTAATTCGGAAGAAGAAGCACTGATACTCTGCTAAATTTCTTTTTTATCCATATTGATTTGCTTTATTTGTAATCTTTTTTTCGTGTTCGGATTCAATGAAATCTGCCCTTTTTGAAAGCAAAAGGCTGTGTTCGCTACTGTTACATTGTGCAATGTAACAGTAGCTGCAGTAACTTACAATAGTAATCCGCTGAACAGACAATTGTCTCGCTAGTCATCTGGTCGAAAGACCGCTTTCCGCCTTTTTTACTCCTACTATCTAGGCTACTACAGAACTGTAGTATTTAATAAAGGGGGTGTAACGTCATCCTAAATAATAAAGGTCATACCGGCTACACAGTCACTCCAGAGAAATACAAGTGAATAGTGCTGTACATGTCAATAGGGTACCTTGTAAGTGAGTGTCTGCTCCAAAATGTAAATTTGGTCGAGATTGACAACGAGATAATTTATAAGTTTCTATCAAGACAAATTCATTTCCGTCGGCCGCGATAAACCTGCAAGAAAACAGTAACAAATAGCTACAGTATTCAGATCCTACATGATCACCTTCAGCCCTGATCAACGCAAGCTTCGTTTTCGAATGAGGGACCGACTCATTCGAGTTCGTGATGTTGTGAAGTGAGCCTTGCTTCCTAGGAATATAGCTGCTGTGACCAGATGGTGATATTACCTTGGTGTTTTTGTTATTACTCTCATATGTAAACAGGATTCCCGATTAATGCATAAATAACCCCGACGTGCTGCATAATGCAGTTTTTTTTTTCATAAACTGCATTATGCTGCATAAGAGCAATTTAGACTTGAAATTGTATTGAGCGTATTTTTCCTCGCCAGCGGGTATACAAACTTTAAGATAAGCGATCTTGGCAAAATGATCTTTTTCTGTTACATAAGCAAAACCCGATCTGTCTTCTGGCAAGAGAAAGTCGCTCATATTTTAGAAAATTGAAACAAACAACTTTGACGCGCATCAGCAAATTTGACATGTAACGGCTGACAGCCACTCGCCGACGGAGGGATATTTTTCATTCGAGATTTTGCGCGCCTAGGACACAAGTGGAGACACAAGATGGTGCGAGCCCGACACAAACAAGTTCGTGACGTCGAGTGACCTTTCCTGGCGGTCGGTGTGGCGTGAGCTGAGAGCCCAAGGCTGGACTAACAAGCGTCCGTCCAGCCGTGGCTGTAACGGGCCAGGTATTTACTCCGTTACTTGCTTACACTATAGTGTTGAGGAAGCTCGCAATAAAACGACTGAGTCTTAGGTTTAAGGAAAAATTAACTCTGACTTTATTTTAGGACCAAGGCCACAGCCCTGGCCACTCAAATACACGTCATAGTCCAATTGGCTAATAATGGGTCTGGCTCCCCATATATCAGCCAATGGCATGACAGCATTTCAGCACACGCTAGTCGTGTGCTGATGCACCTACTTTTGTAAAGAAATCTACCTACTTATGTAATGGAGGGGCCCATTACATTACCCCCTCTTAAAGTTGCACTTACGCAACATAAGCAGTGGGCGAAGAACAAATCAATATGCGTGAGGATGGCGAACGGGGACTTGGCTAACGGGCGGAGCGAAACAGAGACGGAGACATCTCCTGCGAAGCGCAGGAGCGACATAACTCGACTTGCGGAGAAGACGACCAACCAAACGATGGATCAACAGCGGACGGGGACACCGACGACGGCGACGTCGTCGACCGCAGCGACACGGGGCACGCGCGTGATGGACGACCAGCTCCGGGCATGGGCTCTCTATGACATATCCGGAGCGCGGGCTCCGGTCACACTGGACACGATGAAGGATCACTTCCGGCGCTTCCGAGGACTGCGCCAGAAGCCTGTCGAGGGTGTCGCATATGGCGCATTGCAGGAGTCGTGGTGCGCCTTCATCCGGCGTTGGAACCGGACGCAGGAAGAAGGGGAGAGCTTCGTCGGCTGGCTGGTGTACCGCGAGGAGATCGTCAAGGAGCACTCGCTCACGGAGCTCCGTAAGCGCGTCTGCACCAGCGCATGGGAGGACATGCGCCGCATCTGCTACGTGAGGGTCGCTGAAGGTTGTGGCACTTGTACTGGATCGCGTCCGACTGTCGAGGAGTGGAGAAGCCACATCGCCGAGTATCCGCTCGGTGAACAAGAACACGGGTGGATCGAGAAGTATCGTCGCTCGTTGGCCGAGAACGTGCGCGCCTCTAATCGCGCCGGCTCACGCCGACGCCCTGCACGTGAAGATTCTTGGCATCGGACTCGGTCTCGTTCGCGCGGCCGCTCAAGTCGTCGTTCTCGATCACGTTCGCGTGGTCGCACAAATCGCAGATCTCGGTCCCGTTCACGTGGTCGACCAAGTCATCGGTCTCGATCACGTTCGCGTGATCGCTCGAGTCGCTCTCCTCGTGCGAGCTGGCATGTGTCACAAGGTGGTTTGCAGCGAGGCTGGACTCATACGCCTGGACCACATTCGGGACGTCCCGAAGGAGATTGGCGCGAGGCTCCCACGTATCCTCGTCGGGAGGAAACCCGAGCCAACGTACCCGATAGCGACGGTCGGCTGGAAAATCGTGGGCGAGCCCACGATGACGTTTGGGAGCGCGAAGTGGATCTTCGTGGGCAACGATGTACTCAACAATCCAGCGGGTATCTCCGGCAGCGTCAACAACAGGAGGAGGGCCGTCGCGTCGATAGCACTCGCGCTCTGGCTGCCCAGAGCGAGAACGACTTGCTGAACAGCTACTGGGATGTCCAGCAGGGGTTGGATGAGGCTCTCGATCAGACTGCCCGGGCCACCGGGGAGAGTGCGCAGCTGCGTCAGTCGAGCCGAGAGATCCTTGCTCGGTTGCAGATGCTGGAGAGGTCGGTTCACGGACGTTTGCAGACGGGGACGCAGCCTCGAGATCCGACTCCTGGTGTGGATGGGTCGATGGCTCGCCGCGCCCGTCGAGAAGGTCGCTCGACGCATGCTCCGGCTCAGTAGCCTGAGACGACTCTGGAATCGTAGCGGGGTGATACTTCTTGAGCCGTCCGACGTAAAACGTCGGATGCAGACGTAGTGACGTAGGAATGTCAAGCGTGTAGGCATCACCAATGGCTTTGATTACCGTAAATGGCCCAATAAAGCGCGGCGCGAGTTTGTTCGCGCCGAGGTTGGTAACCGCAGAGTTGCTGATACCTTCAGTCGATAGGAGCACGCGTTCGCCTGTCGTAAACGTGGCCGTGTTCTTGCGGCCGATCCTATCGGCGTTCTCCTTCTGCTTGTCCACTGCATCCTGCAGTGCGTCTCGAACATAGCAAGTGACCGCTTGGCGCTGTAGTACGAAGTCGGAGACGACTGCGGAGTCGATTGGTCGCGCCGCATGCTTCGGCGCGTAGTTAGCTGGCGCAAGTGAGCTCGATGCGGAGCGTGTCACTGCGTTGACCGACGTGGGAGCAGGGGATACACTCGAGATATCATTAGCAACCGGTGTATGTACCGGTTGACCCAGTACCGGTGTAGCCGCCGGAGACATCGCAGATGGAGTAGACGGCTTGTCGGCAGCTTCTTCCCCACCCAGAGTGGAGACACGCGGCGCTGTGGGATGGCCCACGGCGAGGAGAGCAGGGACACGCGGGTGTCGCGCGTTATTAACGAAGAAGGGCGTCAGCCCAGTCGACGCGTGTACCGCGTTGTTCAGAGCGAACTCGGCCAGTGGCAGAAACGAGCTCCAGCTGGAGAACGACGTCGCGTAGCTTCGAAGGACGTCTTCGAGGACGCGATTTACGCGCTCCGTCTGGCCGTCCGTTTCCGGATGGGCTGCTGTGGACATCATTAGCTTCGAGCCCAGTAGCTCGAAGAGCTTCGACCAGAAGGCCGACGTGAAGCGCGGGTCGCGGTCGGAGACGATAGATTCGGGTAGGCCATGATGACGGAAGACAGCATCGAGGAAGTGCACCGCGGTATCTGCCGCGGTGATCGCATCCGACACCGGAATCAGGTGAACCATCTTGCTGAAGCGGTCTACGAATACCAAGACACCTGACCGTCCTTTAGCATCGGGTGGGAGCCCGAAGATGAAGTCCATCGACACCGAGCGCCAGGCCTCGGTGGCCACTGGTAGAGGACGCAAGGGAGCCTGCGAAGACGAGGCAGGTTTCATGCGCTGGCAGGTCTCGCAGGTGCGCACCCACTTACGCACCCATTTGTACAGGTGTGGCCAATAAAAGTCGCGTGACACAGCGGCAAATGTCTTCTCGCGACCGAGATGAGCGCCCAGCGGGGCATCATGAAACTCATGGATAATCCGTGAGCGCAGATCGGGGTCGTTAGGGACAACGACACGTGGGGCATCGAAGTTGTCGATGCTGTACGCCAGCAGCTCGTCCTCGAGACGATATCGGTGGATTTTGTTTCGTACAGAGCGGGAAAGGGCTCCCAGTGTGTCGGCGCTGGGAGAGCGGAG